CTATCCCTCTCTGTTTTTCTCTCCTGTACATATTACCCAATGCCACAGCCTCTGCTCTCTTCTGATGCACTTACCCGCATTCAAACCCACACTCCTCTCCTGCACAAACTGCATGCCACTAATACCCTCTGTACTCCTCTCCTGCACATACTGCCGACTAAATAATTCACAATTTTCACCAGCGCATGCTACACACAGTTATAGCTGAAATTCTCTCTTGCACATACTAGCAACTGGTATACTTGCTCCAGTTCTCTTTTGCACATATACAAATAGTGGTCACTGTCATACCCTCTGCACATTCTACCCACCATCATAACCTAAGCAGTTGTATGCTGCACACACTGGCCACGTCATACCCAACTTTCTCCTCTCCTGGACATAGTGCCCACTGTTTTACCCCTCCACACTCCTCTCCTGCAGATGTGCCCACCATTATACCCTTCATGCTCCTCTTTTGTACAAACTGCCGGCCGTCATGCCCTCCTCACTCCTCTTCTGCACACACTGCCCTCTGTTATAAACTTTACTCTTCGCACTCCTGTCATATAAATATTTTCCGTCGTCATACTCTGTCATAACCTCAGCACTTCTCTGCCACACATCTACCTGTCGTAATACTCTCAGAAAACTGATCTCCTGCACATTCTCCCTGCTATCATAGCCTTTGCAGTCCTCTCCTATCAATACTCCCAAATAAACACTTATTATGCATGGTATGTAATATACTCCACTTTACCTGCACTGGAACAGCAACACTTTTCCTAGTACAGCTAGAAACAGATAACAACTATACCCAACATACAGAACGAGGAAAAAATACATCTTTATCTAAAAATAAGAACATTAGACCTCAGCTGCAAATATAGTTGAGTACAGACCTTCTCATCTCCTGTGTCATGGAAAAACAAGTTCTTTTTCACCAAATGAGGTAGAGAACCATTAGCTGGAGTAAGAACTTTTCTGATCAGCTCCACCTTTGAAACAGCAGCACTCTGGTGGCCAAGACTGTGCTTCAACCGACCAAGTTGAGATCCCTGGGCAAATTCTGTTTCATCATTCTGGATCTCCTCTATTTTTTCTGGATGTCTGAAGACACTCTGTGCACAGAATTCAGGGTTCCCTTCACCGTTATTATTTTGTGGATCCCCTGAAGAGACATCCTGATACTTTAACCATCTGCTTGGCTGTTTACTTGATGACTCAGCTACAATGGTGGAATGTGTTTCCTTAGATGTGTACGAGTTAGTCTTTGATAAAAGTCTGTTTTGCATCTGAATTTCTGGGACATCATATTCACCATCCATAGAAATGATGCTGGGACTAACAACAGTCTCCGGTTGGGTGACCATTGGTACTTGCATCTGAAGCCTGGAACGTACTTTGGATAATTTTCCAGTGTTCAAAAAATCTTAGGTGGAGACAAAAAATGGTAACTTTAGCTAATTTGTATGGCCTTTCTTCCTCCTCCTCAATATATTAGGGCTGCAACAACTAATCGACATAATCGATTATAATCGATTATTGAAACAGTTGTCAACTTTTTCAATAATCGATTAATCGGCTTCCGATCAGTTGGCCCTGTTCACGGCTCCACACACGCTGCACGCCGCACCTCCTCCCCACCTCACGCTCGCCGCTGCCAGACCTGCCCGACCGCATCCACGCCACACCTCCTCCCCGCCTCAAATTCACCGTCCGCCCACATCCACGATCGGCACAGGGACGCGGGGAGATGTAGTAAGGAGGAGCAGGTGTGGGGGGATGAGCAGGTGTGGGGGGATGACAGCCGCCGATAGACAGGTCCGATCTCAGAAGCAAGTTGCTGGAAGACTGCTCAGGTAAGCCTGCACTTTCCCACACATGGTGCTCTATAATGTATTGCTGGGATTTGTATTCCTCTATAGCTGATGGTACATTGTGCTGTATATTATACATGGGAATACAAATCCCAGCAATACATTATACACTGTATGTATAATGTATTGCTGGGGTTTGTTGTATTCCTCTATAGCTGGTGGCACTCTGCACTGCACTGTATAGTGCAAATCAAGGAATAATACATTATACAGCACAATGCAGAATACCACCAGCTATAGAGGACTACAAATCCCAGCAATAATACATTATACAGCGCAATGCAGAGTACCACCAGCTATAGAGGACTATAGCGGGAGGACTATACCGCCAGCTATAATGTACTATTGCTGGGATTTGTTGTATTCCTCTATAGCTGTTGATATTCTGCATTGCGCTGTATAATGTACTATTGCTGGGATTTGTAGTCCTCTATAGTCAGTGCCATTCTGCATTGATTGCTGTATAATTTTACACTTTCCTTTTCACTATATTGCACACCACACTAGTCCATCACTGGAGCCATTTTTTAAAATGTATTTTATTGTTTATCCGATTAACCGATTAATCGAACTTAATAATCGGCCAACTAATCGATTTTGAAAATAATCGTTAGCTGCAGCTCTACAATATATTATATCCAAGAAGGGCCAAAATAGGAATGCAACACTTGTAAAAAAATACTGCACTCCCTGCATACTTCTGACATAAGCAGAGGCAAAGTTTCCAGTTTAGAAGATCTTTGTAAGGAAAAAGCATTTTGAACAGCCCAACTGAAGTCAGAGAAATAGATACAATGTCACAGAGACATTGTACTAACAACCTCCATTATTATGTCATCTTATCACCACTTTCCAGCTACAAAAGTTTTGTATATAACTTCTAAATTAAAGTAAGACATATTAAAGTGACACTACTACACTCAGGAGTTAAACCTCAAAATACATTCCAGTACTATTAACAGAAATGAATCTTATTTGTGTAATCACTCAGCTGTAGATCCTCAAATAATCTCTGAATTGGTGCCGACACTGTCCTTCCTTCTGTAAAGGAGCCACCGTTCCAAGCTCCCATGATAGACTATAATCTCAGGTTTAGTTTACTAATTTGTATTGGGATTGTAGTCTATCACAGGAGTGAGCTTGGAGCGGTGGCTACTTTACAACACACAGGGACCATGGGGAACAAAAGTAGCCACCCTCCATCAACTTAGACTATGCTGCATGAAGGTCTATTGTGTACACACATTTTATCTAAACCAGATGAAATAAACCTCTAAAGCATTTACGTTATTACAGCAATATTATTGTAATTTTTTATATGGTTTTTAATATTTTACTTGCTTGCTGTTACAAATTTTGATTACAGTTTTTTTCAGTCAAAATGTGCAAACCTTGCCCTTTCTAACTAATATAACTATCACTGCTTAAAGACTGTTGAATAAACAGTTGTTCTCAAAAGTTTGCATACCCTTGGAGAATTGGTAATATATGTACTAAAGAAAACATGAGAGAGCAGGGAAAACACGTTTCTTCTATTTCTTATGGGATTCATATTCAATTGTAGGTCATAGCAGAATGGCGCAATCATAAAACAAAACATGGCAACAAATAAAAAAATGAAATGAGCCCTGTTCAAAAGCCTGCATACCATTAGTTCTTTTTACTGTGTATTGCCCCCTTCAGCATCAATGACAGCACGCAGTCTTTTGTAATAGTTGTCTATGAGGCCCCGAATTCTTGCAGGTGGTATAGCTGCCCATTCGCCTTGGCAAAATGCCTCTAGGTCATGCAAAGTCTTTCGTCGTCTTGCATGAACCGCACATTTTAGATCTCCCCAGAGTGGCTCGATGATATTAAGGTCAGGAGACTGTGATTGCCACTCCAGAACATTCTCCTTTTTCTGCTGTAACCACTGGAGGGTCATTGTTGTGCTGGAAAGTCCAAGAGCGTCCCATGCGTAGCTTTCGTGCAGAAAAGTGCAAATTGTCTGCCTGTATTTTCTAACATGCTGCATTCATCTTGCCATCAATTTTCACAACATTCCCCGTGCCTTTAAAGCTTAAACCCCCCAAAAAATGGGTGAGCGACTACCATGCTTCACAGTGGGGATGGTATTCTTGTCGCTATAGGCCTTGTTGACCCCTCTCCAAACATAGCGCTTATGGTTGTGACCATAAAGCTCTGTTTTGGTCTCCTCACTCCAAACTTAAGTGTTTCAGAAGCTGTGAGGCATGCCAAGGTGTTGTTGGGCATATTGTAACTGGGCTTTTTTGTGGCTTTGGCGCAGTCAAGGCTTCTTTTTGGCAAGTCAACCATGCAGCTTATTTTTGTTCAAGTATTGTTATATTGTGCTCCCTGAAACAACCACACGTCTTTTTCCAGAGCAGCCTGTATTTCTCCTGAGGTTACCTGTGGGTTTTTCTTTGTATCCCGAACAATTCTTCTGGCAGTTGTGGCTGCAATCTTTCTTGGTCTACCTGACCTTGGCTTGGTATCAAGAGATCCCCGAATGTTCTACTTCTTAATAAGTGATTGAACAGTACTGACTGACATTTGCAAGGCTTTTGATATCCTTTTTCATCTTGATAAAGTTCCATTACCTTGTTACGCAGGTCTTTTGACATTTCTTTGCTGCTCCTCATGGATCAGTATCTAGCCCGCTCAGTGCATCCACGTGAGAGCTAACAAACTCAATGACTATACTGTATATACACACAGACACTAATTGCAATTTAAAAAGCCACAGATGTGGGAAATTAACCTTTCATTGCCATTTTAACCTGTGGGTGTCACCTTGTGTGTCTGTAACAAGGCCAAACATGCCAGGGTGTGTAAACTTTTGATCAGGGCCATTTGGGTGTTTTTTGTTGTCATTACGGTTTAAAAAGGAGCCAAAACAACTATGTGATAATAAATGGCTTCATATGATCACTATCCTTAAATAAAAGACAGTTTTTTGGCATGATCAGTCATATTTTCAATATCAATGCCATCATTTCACAATTTCTGCCAGGGTATGCAAACTTTTGAGAACAATTTTATCGGAGTTAACCTTAAGGCTATTGTTTTTTATCAGGTCTGACCTATAGGTGTATATGGAGAAATCATTGTGCAGAACTGATAAGAAGGAAGCAGAATCTTCATCAGTAGTAAGCAAATATAATCTAACAACGCTCATTAATAAATGTCTTTAAAGAAGAAGTCTCACCTTGTATTATTTTTCACAGCTCACACAGTGCATGTTGCTTCCTAGCCCATGTTTTGTGTGGAGTAGAAAGTAAGATAAAGACTTTGCATATCATGGTCCAAAAATGAAGAGGAGAAAACTGTCAAAGGAGACAGACTCTTAATTGATAGCTCTTATCTCATTGTCTCTGCAATTTCAGACACAGGCAAGTTCACAGGAAGGGGCACGCTCTCACAGGAACCAGCACAGGCACTAGGCTTCCAAGGGGATCCTTGTTTTGGGAAAGTACAGAGACAGTGAGATAAGAGTTGTCAATCCAGAGACCATCTCCTTTGCAGAGCCTTGTTAGGAATGAAGGAGAGTGAACTGTCAAAGTCTGTATGTCAGTTCCTACTCCACACAGTAGCATGGGATAAAAATCAATGTACCGTATATACTCGAGTATAAGCCGAGATTTTCAGCCCATTTTTTTGGGTGAAAAGTGCCCCCCTCGGCTTATACTCGAGTCAGCGCCAGCGCGTCTTCTTACTTACCTCGCCGAGCGTCGCGTCACTGCTGCTCCGGTGGGCGGCGCTCCGAGCGGGGTCATCTGGCAGTCTCCGGGTCCTAATTTAGGTGGCCGGAGACTGCCAGATGACCCCGCTCGGAGCGCCGCCCACCGGAGCAGCAGTGACGCGACGCTCGGCGAGGTAAGTAAGAAGACGCGCTGGCGCTGACTCGAGTATAAGCCGAGGGGGGCACTTTTCACCCAAAAAAATGGGCTGCAAATCTCGGCTTATACTCGAGTCAGCGCCAGCGCGTCTTCTTACTTACCTCGCCGAGCGTCGCGTCACTGCTGCTCCGGTGGGCGGCGCTCCGAGCGGGGTCATCTGGCAGTCTCCGGGTCCTAATTTAGGTGGCCGGAGACTGCCAGATGACCCCGCTCGGAGCGCCGCCCACCGGAGCAGCAGTGACGCGACGCTCGGCGAGGTAAGTAAGAAGACGCGCTGGCGCTGACTCGAGTATAAGCCGAGGGGGGCACTTTTCACCCAAAAAAATGGGCTGCAAATCTCGGCTTATACTCGAGTCAGCGCCAGCGCGTCTTCTTACTTACCTCGCCGAGCGTCGCGTCACTGCTGCTCCGGTGGGCGGCGCTCCGAGCGGGGTCATCTGGCAGTCTCCGGGTCCTAATTTAGGTGGCCGGAGACTGCCAGATGACCCCGCTCGGAGCGCCGCCCACCGGAGCAGCAGTGACGCGACGCTCGGCGAGGTAAGTAAGAAGACGCGCTGGCGCTGACTCGAGTATAAGCCGAGGGGGGCACTTTTCACCCAAAAAAATGGGCTGCAAATCTCGGCTTATACTCGAGTATATACGGTATGTTGTGGGAGTTCGGTGACTGAGCTCAGAAAAAAATACAGGGCGAGACTTCTTCTTCAAAATGATGGAGAGGGGGAATTCCCATTTCCCATCCCCCATCTATACAGTTTTGCATGGATTGGAAAATGAAGCATTTTTCTTGTTGAGCCCACGTGGTTACATGAGAAAAAAAGATTAGTTTATGGCCAGCTTTAGCCGTATGTTGTCAGCATTTCAGCACCATAAGATTAAAATCTTGAGCATCAAGGTAAACTTTTCATACTTAGTAATCTTTAAAGAACACAAACCTGTAAAGTACCCACAGCCACCAAAAGCAGGGGTAGACATTAGTGGTCTTTTATGTGTTCCACTGAAATGCCCTCCTTTTATGACACACTAATCTCTGCTATGCTAATAGGCTAAAATCTGTCCAACTCCCCATTACAATTAACACCCAGTATACTGTTATTTGTAATCTGAACCCCATGAAACTGCAGAAGCTAGATATTTAGTTAGTATTTATACCCAGTATAGTGTTAAGTGTACAATCTAGATATCAGTGGTCTAATGTTAATGGATGTCTTTAGTTGCAGCTTATATAATCAAACCTAGCAAACAACCAACAGACACCACAGAACAGTTAGCCGTTTACTTTCTCCGGAAAAGACCTACCTCTCCCACAGAAATATTTATGATGGCCATATATATACTTAAGCAGATAGAATTGTTTCTTACTGTGCTGCTCAAGTAGAGCTTTCCCATCCTTTAACTGTGCTCCTGGGCTCTCCACAGAAACGCATTGCCTTGGTCTCAGGAAAAACTGACACTTTAGGTTGCCTGACTTTTCTTGTATTGGTGTTTTGACCTGAAATAATTTACACAGAAGAAAATATACAATACATGCTTATACCAAGGTCTTATGTTCTGTAGCTGTACAGTCAATAATTATCTAATAACAACAAAACAAAACATTCTGCATAAAATAGTGATTGTGGTGTAGCAAGGATAGAAAATGTTATTACAACTTACACAGACATAAAGATCTTAAGGGCATGAGGGCAGGGTATTCTGGATTTTATAGTAATATCTAATTATTATGTTATAAACTACACACCACAAATATAACCAATGCAAATGCTCACTGACCTTATTTGTCCATTGTGAAAACTCCCAGTCACAGTCTGATCCTTGGGTTCCCACAGTCCATCGTGGAAGTGGACACTGCACTGAGGAAACTGAGGGGAAAGAGCAGATACTGACAATACTATCAAACAATAATCAATATTGATTAAAAGCAGTTTGTTTTATTCATCATATAATTATTGTGTTTAAAGATCTGGATATAAACAAAAGTAGAACCTGTAATGTAGGTACACACACTTTTTCAGAAATGGTTCCATCTATGAAATCATGATGTGTATTTAGGCAAGGATTTGCAAAGAGTAGTAACTGTAACTGTTTATTGCATAGTAGATGACTATAGACAAAGATCTTTATTCATTCTAAACTGAGCATCAGAAATCTGCAACCAAGTAAGGATCTTTCCGGTTTCCAAAAAGGAAAGAAATAACTCCTGGTTTGCTAATGTGGAAAAAAAGAAGAAAACTGCTCCGGCTGGGCAGAAGAATTGTGCTTGCATTTATTTCATGGGCATAGTTACAGTAACAGTTGGATTTTTATTTATTGAAAGACTCTGTTTGCACAGCTTTACTAAGACCATGCACAACCATTCAAGAGTTCAATAAGTATACACTGCTCCTTTTGCAAGCTCAATCAAGAAGACACATTTCTATCCCGCGGTGTCTGCATGCGGGTGCACGCGTCCATAGACTTACCTTGCGTCTCTGCTCGTCTACCGGCCGAGAATCCGAACAGTTTTGGATTCCCGGGCGGGAGCGCGCAGCGATAACGAGGTAAGTTTAAAGAAGAACTATGCAGTTAATTTTGCATATATCTACTGCTTGCTAGCAGTAGATATATGAAAAAAACTGGAGGCTTTAGAATCCCTTTAAGGCTGAACTTTAGGCAGATTTTTTAAAGAAAATTAAAAATGGATGCAGCTTTGTATTAACTTACATCATTAAGGGCTCATTCACACCAGTTGCAACGAATAGTGTTTTTCGTGCGGGATCAAAGCCAGTCACCGTGAGGGCCCGCAGAAAACAACAGTTTTCTATGTGCCCTGTGTATGGCACAATGCTGGTGTGATGAGTGTTGTGGAAAAATTCAGAAATGCCTTATTTTTCTGCAGCACACGGCACCAGAGGCCACCACAGTGCAGCACAGACGTGACGCTGTGCAGAGACGTGAATGGAGTGTACACACTGCCAATAAGAAAAAAAAAAAGGGCCTTGCATTGTAACAACGCAACGGTGTGTAGGGGTGCCTCTCAATGCAAGGCACCCCTACACACCGTTGCCCCGAGCAGAAGTCAACTGCATGCTAAAACAGACCATTATAGCATGCGGCTGGTCTGAACCCAGTCTAAATGTTTTTTTAAATGCAAGCAGTGTGAAGTACCTGAATTTGACTTGGTATCAGCCTCTTACAGTGCCTGTGCAGCAGTTTAAACTGAGAGAGGGATTAGATACAGTTCTTGTCAGTTATATTTCTGCTTTAGACTAATGCATGAATTAAATATTTTGAAACTTCAGGGTTCTCATTAATTAACACATCAGTTTGCATATACTTTCAATATAGCACAGGGCTAGACAAATGCCAGAAACCAGGTAGCCAATGATCCTTTAAAAATTAGAGCTAGCACCTAACTTTTGAGGTTTTTGCTAGTTGTTGTTGTTGATGGAGTTGACTCCTAAAAATAAATCCTGCTGGCTCATGGATTGGACAGACCGGCTTCTGAATTCCATATTGATTTATCCAACCCTGATATAGCATTTTAGACAACAAATTATCCACCTAAAATGTTGTAGTTCCTAGAACACAGCAGCCAGAGTCTTTATTTCATTCTCATATATAGAATGGGAGAGAAAAAAAAAAGGTTTAACTCCTGAGTTTAGTGTCACTTTAATGTAGGACTTCCTATAAGTCTCATTTGCAGATTTAATAAGAAAGGAGTTATCGCCACCTGGTGGTAGAAAGTTATCATTGCCTGTAATGTACCAGTCACACCAATTAATGTACATTTACTTACAAAAATCGCTTTCGTTAGGTGTCCTAGTGTGCTCCACTGTAGTCTGGGAAAGACCGCTATAATCAAAGCATGTCTCATCCAATGTAACAGGAGGAGAATTCTGGAAATAAATACAGCCTTACTATATGTTGCTCAAAATGGAAAACAGGCAGAAGACATTGGTTTGCAATGGTCATTCAGACAGCAACATCAAAAAAAGTATGCATAGGAGATTCAAATGAAATATTTTGTAACCAAGATCCACACAAGACAACTTCATTACCTGCATTAACTGACTGAAAACACAAGCTGGTGATGAAAGAAAATGACTGCTTGAATCAAAGTGTAGACTGCTTGAATCATAGGGTAGACTGCTTGAATCAAGGGGTAGATGGCTTGAATCAAGGGGTAGATGGCTTGAATCAAAGGGTAGACTGCTTGAATCAAAGGGTAGACTGCTTGAATCAAAGGGTAGACTGCTTGAATCAAAGGGTCGACTGCTTGAATCAAAGGGTCGACTGCTTGAATAAAATAGTAGGCTTTCATGCGGGCCTCTATCTGGAGAGCAGCTCCAATCTAGCACTGATGTGTCAGGCCTAATTATGACTGCACTAGATGCTGATCCTTTCACGCTGTAACCTTGAAACTCAACTGGATGATGTGTCTGGTAAGGGGAAATGGCATGAACATTGAACAATATACGGCGGTGATGTTATACTGTATGTACATATATTAACCAATGAAAATAATGAAACAGAAGCAATATGGAAAGTAAAAGTTGATTTAGTAACCGAGGGCTTGTTCACACCTAATCAAGTGCGTTCCAGTACAGTTTGTTGCTGGAACGCACTGGATCGAATAATTACAGCCTCCCTGCATTCTGGGGCGGGTCGCACTGTGGCCCGGGAGGCGTGGCTGTGGTGCCATTGACCTGAATGCACTACCATGCACCCTCCTGCCCCAGAACGCAGGGAGGCTTTAATTATGTGATCCAGTGCTTGCCAGCAACTAACCATGCTGGAATGCACTACACTAGGTGTGATCCAGCCCTCAAAAACATGCTATTTTGGATAATAAGGGTCACTGTACTCAAAATTAATAACGCAGTTTTTGGTAGAAGCAGTATAGTTGAATCACCAGATGGTTACATATATCTCTCAGGGACTTTATTGGTGAAATATCTGATTGGGTTCCTGGGTCTGCACATCTGTTTTGGCCATTATGAGGGTTTCTCCATGTTGGATTTTATTTTATGTTTATGGGGTTTTTTTAAATGTTTTTTTCTGTATTTTATACTGAAACATGCAAACATAGGCAGAGACACTTAAAGGTTGTAGAAACAAAACAGGGATTGGCACAGGCCACCTAGTCCCACCTATAACCTCATATCATTTTTGAGTCGTCTGACCCTTTAAGTCACTGCTCGCTGTGTCCGATGCATTCAACATTAGAACATCATGCTTAAGTATTATGAAATGGTGTCAAAAGAAATTACTTAATTTGTATTTTCAATATATTCTACCATTATGCAAAAACAATATTCAGAACGACTTTTTTTGTGCTAATAAAGTAGTTTAACTATGTATGTCATTTTTGGAGATACATATACTATACAATTTACTAAAAAAAAAAAAATGGAAAAAAGCAGGTGAAACAAATGCATACAGAAAGTATAATGATTGTATTCTCATGGTGTAAACATATATTATCAATTAAGACTGATCCTTTCTGCAAATAAAAAATGTAATAAAATAGGTATTTACCATGGTTGATGTTGTTAGCATAGTTTTCTCCTGCTGGCATACAGGCGGTGTCTACAAACAGAAAATATGTAGAATCATTGTATAAAGACAGCTTGTCACCATATTACAAAACCCAAAAGGGCTGCAACCAACTAATCGAATAATAAATAAAAAGAATAGTTGACAACTATTCTCATTATCGATTAGTTGGTTGGATCCCCTAGCTCTCACCTCCATGCTGGGAGGAGAGCACAGCACCCAGTGGTGCAAAAGCCAGCCTGCTATTGAGTATTGCAATTTGAAATTCCTAATAGCAGGCTGGCTATTGCACCAGCCCAGTACCTGCTGTATTTACATTCAGCTGCTGTCTGCAGAATCTTGCCACTGGCAGCTGTCATTCCCTGGCTGCAGCTATTTGAGCACCATGTGCTTACAATACAATTAAATAATTTTTTTTTATAAAAGGTGGGGGAAAAAAAAGTCATTTTCGGTTTTGACCTGACAAATTCTGCTGTGGGAGGTGTGTTTCAGTGGCATTCATTTCAATGGCACCCCAGACGTGCCTTCCACCCACAGTGTAATCGCCTGCACTGGAACGCATGTTACCATAATGCCGTGCTTTCCATTGCAGTGCGAGTGCAAAAAAGTGTGCATGTAGTTTTATTCTGAAGTAAACTTTATGTTTGTAACACTGTATTTGTGTATTTCATTTTAAATTAACAATGGTATTTATTTAATTATTTTTATCCGCTCACAACAAATAATCAGCCAACTAATCGATTATGAAAATAATCATTAGTTGCAGCCCTAAAACCCAATACACCACAACATACCTCACTCAAGAGCTGAATTCAATAATAGGTCTAGTTTTAAAATTGCATAGTTGCCCATTAAACAATTGCAGATTTTGCCAATAATTTAAACTTAAGGCGACAGATCTCTACAAATAATAATTCATTAAATACTGTCAGTCTGTTTACAAACTAATGTATGACATACATCTTATCACCATTTGTATATATTTTTTTGCCATGCATTAAAGCAGAAGTAAAGACAGTAAAATAAAAAAAATGGCGGGAGGTTGGAACGTTTGGCAGAAGAAACTTGCAAAATCTCTTCTAGCCAAGAAAAATCATCTTCTCTCTCCCAACAGCCCATTCACTGCATCTCTAAGTTGCCCCAAATTAGCACTGGTGTTGGTTAGGATGTAACTCCTGTGCGCATGCATAGGGCTTACATTATCATTGGCCACCCAATAGCTGAATACAACTTCTGGGAACCCAAAATTGTCAGCGGCGGAGGGGGACAGAGCTGGGTACAGAAGAACGATCCAACAGCAATGGAGAAGGGTACACATCAGCCCCACCTCCTCCTTCACTGCGAACGCTGGCCTCTTCTGCCATGGCTGCTGGCTGTCACTGACACAGCTCCGCTGCGGCTGTGAGGGGAAATGCCGCTGTTGAGCTGGGTCAGTGACAGTCAGCACCCTTACGTGCCATAGCAAACTTGGCGGCCCACACGGCATCAGAGCGGTCGCCTGGGTCGCTATGGCGATTGTTACGCCACTGGTACACATGTAAAAGAAGTGTGTCCTAATGTCAAGTATGCTGTACCAAACATTTACACAGAGGTTTAGAGCTGCAACAGTTAATCGATTTAGTCGATTAAAATCGACGATTGAAAACGTTGGCAACGTTTTCGATCGTCGATTCGTCGGCTATCGATTGATTTGCCTGTTCGGGGCTGTTCCGGGCTCCACATGCAGCCTGAGCCACACGTCACACGCTGCTTCCGCTGCGGCCACCGTGCCCGGTCCAACTAATCGATTATGAAAATAATCGTTAGCTGCAGCCCTACAGAGGTTTACTTACACTTCAAGAGTTGTTGAAATACATTTGAAAAAACAAACTGTTCTGTGAAGAAGAAATTGAATACTCACCTGTCCTACTGCCCATGTAACTGATCTCAGAGAAACCAACAGCTGAAGATCCTGAAATATGGGATACTTTTGTGGGTGCCTATAGGTCAGCCCTATCATCTCCTATATCACTAGAGGACACAGTACTGACGTAGGGGCTGTGGACGCAAACCACTGAGTGTAGCAGGACCTTAGGGATTCAACTCTCGGAAGAGTTGGATTCTGCAGGATCTTTAACCAGTAGTTTCACTTCACTTATGCAGAGATCTGGGACTCAGACGGCAGGAGAGATCAATATTCCTTTCTTCTTTGCAAGTAAGTTTTTGTTTTTAACATTTTTTAGTGACAAAGTTAATACAGACAGGGTGCTTCTACCGTATGACACAGAGTTTGCAGAACATGCTTGGTTTTTCTGAGAGCCTGCATACTTGTTGGCCCCTCTATACATCTGACAAATGCAGACGTTTCTGTCTGAAGTGGTCAATATGAAATATATTATTTTTTATTGATATGCAATAATATATATTTCAGATTAACGTGAAGAAAGGGAAATAATAAAGATTTGTAAAACTATTTTAGTCATGAACATATTAATGAAACATTAAGCAATACCTATAATAGTTAAAAAGAACTGATAAAGGTGTTACCAGTGGTGGGGAGATAGACTGAGGGAAGCATAATGTCTCTGTATCATCTTCTTGATGCATTGGTGAAAAGCTGGATATCACTGGTACTGTGAAAGAAGGAATGGCTGGTATATCTTCACAATCTGGAAGCTTTATTGCCAAGTGGCTTGTCCTGTGAAGACCTTAAGGTGCACAATATAGGTCTTACTTAAACAAAAACAGACAATGGTCACTGTTACATACTTAGGGGCACAATGGTCAGAATTCCAGAACTGCCAACAGTGTTACAATAGAAAATGCATTGAAGGCCCATTAGTGTCAAAAAATAAAACCCTTACAACGAATTTGCGAAAGGTGCGATTCTAAGATTACAAAAATGTAGTTTCTTTCCTCCTGACTTTATGCCCTAGAAGTTTAAGATTGAGACACTGATACAAAAATAAACTGCGTATTGAATTGCACACAAAGTCAAGCTCATGCTCTTGCTGGTATGGATAAAGATTTAGGGAAGAGCTGAAATAGGTAGTTATTGGAGAAAATGCTGCTGCATGCTTCCATCAGTGCTGACCAGGTAATGCTAGCTCAGCAAAAAATAAATAAAAAGGGTTATTCACAAAACTGCCGAAGGCAGCCGAGTGAATAACCCAACCGAAGTGAGCCAAACGCTGATTGGGAATTCACTTCAGTCTTGTACGGCTGATTTCAGCTGTACATCGGCTTGCTGCGGCTGGCTTCAGATCAGCCAGACATGCTCGGCATATTCGGCTGAGCCGAAGTGCAGAAGGAGTTCGACTCAGCCGATCCGCCCAACTGTTTCCTATTGGCCGGGACCGGCTAGAGTCTTCTAGCAGGTCCTGGCCAATTAATAACAAATGGGCGGAGCCGGCCGTGACGTTACCTGGGGATGCTGATCTGTCATTGCAACTGGGCGGAGCCAGCCGTGACATCCCGGCTGGCTCCGCCCAGCTGTCAGTTGCGAGGCTTCGGGTTTCACTTCGGCTCAGTTGAGCTGAAGCATATGCCTTCAGCTCGGCTGAGCCGCTTGGCCAGCTTCGGGAGCTGTACAGGCTATAGTGAATAGCCTGTACAGGCTATAGTGAATAGTCATATAAGAAGCCTGTGGGAGGAACTACAATGCAGCAGGTGGAATTGGTAGTCAAGTGTTATATACCAGCAGTTGATATAGCTCTGCAATAGAGAGTATATAGAAGTCCTCTGAGAATCTGCCATACAGGTAATCTTATTTTACAGGATGACTTCAATTTTATTTTGTTGAATTAGTGACAGGTCCCTTTTTAACTATGATTCTTCCCTTCAGCAGATACCACAAGACAAAGTGCCTTCACGTGGCGAGTACTGAAGGAAGCAAGAATCAGTATTTTTCCAGGAGAGATAAAGATTATGAAAATGAAATGCTAATCCATCCCAGAAACACCATTAACATAGCTTTATGTTAACATAGTATAAGATCTCCTTTAAAGGAGAGACTGTCACTCCTAAGTGACACTAAACTCAGGAGTTAAATCTTAAAAATGCATTCAAGCACCTTAATTATTAACAAACATGTATCTTATTTGTATCACTCATCTGTAGAACCTCAAATCATCTCTGAATTCATACTGACACTGTCCTTCCTTCTGGAGGATGGCTTCTTCTGTTCCCCATGGTCCCTTTGTGTGTTGTCAAGTAGCCAATGCTCCAAGATAGACTACAATCTCACATTTAGTTTACTAATTTGTAGGGATGCACCGATACGAATACTAGTATCGGTGCCAATACCCGCCCAAATGCTCCGTTACTTATCTCCAATACGGGAACTTACCGGTATCTCCCTCTAACCAGCAGTGCCAAGCGAGCATGGAGCCGGCTTCCTTTCAAGTCAGGAAGCCGGGCAGCGGGTGATGACTCGCCTCCCGGCTTCCTGAATGGCTAGGAAGCCAGCTTCACTTGTTGCTAGGCAGCCTGGCTTTCTAACCAATCAGGGAGCCGGGCAACACATCATGACCCGCCTCCCTGATTGACTAGGAAGCTGGCTTCACTTGTTGCTAGGCAGCCTGGTTTGCTGACCAATCAGGAAGCCGGGTGGCACCCCATGACCCGCCGCCCGGCTTCCTAAATGGTCAGGAAGCCAGGCAGCCTAGGGAAGTAAAGCTGCTTTTCTTTCAATAGAACACCGGCTTCTCGGGCAATCAGAAAGCCGGGCGGCAGGTCATGATCCGCCTGGCTTCCTGATAAATCGTGGCACACGGCCCCAGTATCTGTATTTGGTATTGACGAGTACCGAAAAAAATATATCAGTACTCGTATTTGATATCGAAAAAGCGCTATCGGTGCATCCCTACTAATTTGTATTGAGATTACAGAGTAGTGAGATTGTCGACAATGATTTGGATGTTTTTCTAGCTCTCTAAAACATGAAATGGTAAAACAGACAACCTAAAGTGCTTTTTGTAGAAAAAACATTTTTGTTAGTTCCCACTTCACACAAAAAAAGCACTTCAGCCAATATACTAGAGTCTTACCTTACGCTTATAATTGCAAACACTCTGACAATTCAGAGACCAAAAGACACATGGCTAAAAGGTTTATATGGAACAGACTTTTTATTTGTAATGAAAATGTAATGCTGCTAACCTTCCTCTGCTTCACTCTGCAGACATGTCCCCAGTTCACAGTCTCTTTTCTCTGGGGTAGAGAAAGACTTCCCCTTTAAGACATTCAGGCTTTCAAGAGCACTGCAAGGTTTAGTTAGAGTTTTTAAGATAGAAATGCTGCTTCCAGACTGTGAAAGACCAAGGGAGTCCTCTTCGGTATACTGAACCTCCTCAAGGCAATTCTGTGCTAAAGAAGTGCTGCTGCTGCTGCCTTTAAAGAGACTGTCATCATCACTTGATAACCCTTCCTGTAGTAAAGCATCAGCTGATTTTAATGCAGACTGACCACAAGGAATATGTCCTTCTTTGTCACTGAATGGATATAACATATTTCTTGGCTCCCAAGACACAATCTTTTCCCCTCTGCTTTTAATGTGCTCTATGTGTTGATCACAAACATCACTTTCAGGCAGTTCATTAGAAGCAGTGAGTTCATCCAGGTTACTTTGTGCTTTGCTGCTGCAGATATCAGCAGGTACAGGAAGAATGCAGGTTGTGTAATGAATTCCTTTTATGACATTTTCAGCTAACAGAGATCTGACAGTATCTGGTTTCAATAAAGACTTGTTCTCAGAAAAATTTTCCTGAACTTTCCCTTCTAAAATATTGCTGTCTTGAGGGATGTCCTTGTTTTCCTCTGCTGATAGTAATCTGTTTTGTGAGAGGGGAGGGACCACATTTGAATCCCCATCATCTAATTCTGTGAAATCAAAACTGTCCATCAGGTTAAATGAAACTTCGGAGAAAGATGTTACATTCTCCTTCTCTAACTCCATGTCATCCACTTCTAATTTTGCTGGGTTTTGAGAAGAACACAGAATTGGGGAAGGAGACTCTATGTGACAAAGTCCTGACTCAGGTGAATTATTTTCACAGTACACGTCTGCATTATAAAGTTCTTTGTGTGATGGCCTACCTACATGTTCTAAATCATTTAATTTGTGATTAGTGATATGTGGTCTGTCAGCTTCTGAAGTCCATGTATTTGCTCCTTTCATTTCCTCCTGTTTTATTCCAGGTTTTAGAAGGCAAGTAATAGGAGTGTTATTTTTAGGCCTCTCGTCTGGGCTTTCTGACAGCACAAATGTGTCATTATCATCACCATGATCAGTGCTGGAGGCTGGAGGTTGATCTAAGTAAATATCCCATCGACTTTTTACAGGACGGGGCTTTACTGGTGATTGTTCTTCACAAATGTTTTCAGATATTAGAAGATGACTTCTTGTACTACCTGCAAATGTGGATCCTAGGTCATTGTCGGGTTTCATGGGTGCTTGATTGATATGTTGTTCTGTTAATGTCCCTTCTTTACTTGGCTGTGACTTTAACAGGGCCAAAATTTGTGCTGTGCTTCGTATACTTTGCTTAATTGTGTTTCCATCTCCTAGTACACTTGTGTCAGCAATATTTTCTCTTTCGGTATTTTCTCTTTCAGCTCCTTGATTTCCAATACTTGAAACATGAAAGGAGGAAGTACTGCTATTAACTTGTGTGTTTTTGCAGGTCACACTGCTTTGCTTTTCACAAGTATCGGAACAGTCATCTGTTTGGTAGGAGCTTTGCAACTGTGCAACTACCCCTGTGTCTGCCTTCTTGGTGAATGAAGCGGCAAAGAGAGGTGACGTAGTAAAGAGCGGAGAAGACAGAGATGGACATCCTTGTTCCAGCTGAGAAGATGTCCTTCCTGACACCTCCACGTCCAGACATGGTTTCTTGGTAACTTCACGGGGACACTGAAAACCCTGAAAAATAATGCATCTCATATGAAAAATATGACAATCCATATGTTGCACTAAATGTGACTAAAATATTATACACCCCCTTTATTTTATTCCTTTCCTCTTGTGACTTCCATCTGCTCAAACACTTAAAAAACTGATTCAGAATTAATCTGTACCAGCATAGCCTACCCTCCAATAATGGAATGCTTTGTAAAATCATTGTATTCTTTTATAAAAAGTACTTTACAATAGCTAGAGATTTACCGGGCTATTCACAAAAGGGTGAGGAGTTTGGAGAAGGCAGGAGAAGGGAACAATCTAGGACAACATAGCTGATTTGCAAAAAATGCTCCAATTCAGCTCACTTTGCAGTTCAGCTATGTTGTCCTAGATTGTTCACTCTCCTGCCTTCTCCAAACACTTCTCCCTTTTGTGACTAGCCATAGTAGTAGTTACATAGAGTTCAATATTTTACAAGTTAAAGCAGCTTTGGTCCATGGGGGAAAAAAAAAAATCAGACCTCCTAGCAGGGAAACTCATCATAAAGTCTTGTCATTACAACAGTCACATTAATTTTTTTGGATTCAGTTATTCCTGTGTCCTTCTTTAGAAAATAAAAACCATTTCTTTCAGTCCCTAAAGTAAGTGAAATGTGATATAAGCAACAGCTTTAGAGGGTGTGTATGTTAATTCCAAAGGTGGAAGTCAGTACCAATTGCTCTGCCAATCGCCACCAAATGTCTTCAGACTGCCATGGTGAAAAGGATTCACGGAGCGCTATATTAAAATGGTAAGTTGGTGCCAAATTAGTATGAATAGTTCTGAGAGATTAAGATAACACATTATGCTGAACTGCTAATATCACTTACTGTAAATTTTCTCTTCAAACCAGCTGGAGGACGCAGGCCAGAAGACTTTAGACTGTATCTGTTGCTGAATGCAGGTAAATCTTTGCGTTCAGTGTTGCTCTCTGAAGTATTATCACTTACAGCTACTGATTCAACAGTGATCAAATAGCGATCACTTTCCAGATCATCACCAATAGTTACCTAAAAAGAAGAAAACTCGTAATAAATGTGTGAAGATAAATCCTACTTCAGGAGTAATCATTGCTTTAGACTATACATTTCCCTCAGTTAAGTTACTATTATTTATCTTAACAGCCATTCCATAGAAGAAGGTGGTATATTAAAGCAGAAGTAAACACATAATCATATAGTTAAGTTCAACAGCAATATTACAGTTGTAATTAGGATTGGAAACTAAAGCATACACCTACAGATTTTCTATGGTCAGATGGAAAAAGTGCAACAGATTCCTCCATCTACACTAACCTGCGTGGATGGAGGAATCTCCCACAACGCCAAGCTTCAGTATCTTGCTAGTCGGCCCCGCTGGCTTTTAAAATGCCTGAACAATGCCTGCATCCAATCAGATTGTTCAGGTATTTTGACAGCCAGTGGGGCCGACTAGCAAGATACTGAAGCTTGGCGTTGTGGGAGATTCCTCCATCCACGCAGGTTAGTGTAGATGGAGGAATCTGTTGCACTCTTTCCATCTGACCATAGAAAATCTGCAGATAATCCGATAGGTGTATGGCCAGCTTAATACTGAAAATCTGTTACAGTATAGTAATGGGAGCCTGACATATAACTGCACTCATGCAGAGTCCCAGGATTATTGCCCACTTCAAACTAATAAGATAAACCAAGAAATGGAAGTGCACTGACAGCTATCAGAAAGGGTTGTATATTTATTAATAAAGGAAAACACAAAAAAGCGAAAAACAACAACCCTATAAAAAACCTACAACATACAAGAAAAAAAATTGGTGGTGAATGTACTTTGCATTGTTTATTTGCTCACACTTCACCATGTGCTATAATTCCTGGGAATGTTTTATGATTTATTGCTTGGGTAACCAAATCAGACATCAGTGTTTTTATGATAGTGTGTAAGAAAAAAAAAACCTACAATCAAAACCCACTACCTGCATATAAACCAAGGCAGCTCTGCCCCTGAAACTTCCCAGATGTGAACAAAACCCCACATTTCATACGTGTTGGTGGGTGTTGACTGTAAGTTTTTTGGGTTTTTTTTTTTAGGTAGGGAGGAATATTTCTATATTTGTGGTTTATGCATAATAACCTTACATATAGGTACTGTATATAAAAATATAAATAACATAATATGTAACCCCTACAGAAAGCTGACAGGACGCCTGTTTTCCCTTTTTTCTTGAGTTACTTCATTTGTTTCCAAGATCGTGTATACATATATTTATCATGCACAAAAACAAAACTGTTTTAATAAAATTTCTGAATTAAATGACTTTGTTTCTCTTTTAAAACTCACCTTGCCAGTTTTTATAAATACAGTGTCCAGACGCTGAGCCTTATCGTTGAATAAAGAAGCCTACATATAAAGAGCAAAATCAGAGTTCAAAAATATAACAGGCAGCATAAAAGACAACCTCCTGTTCACTTGGAAGGTTACAATGTTGCAAGTTGAAGATGTTCATATAAAACTTATTTGAGTAAAATTGCAGTTTCAACTTAAAGCCCAACTCTAGCCAAAACAAATGTTAGTTTTGCTTGTAGTGAGGATAAGTATACCTTTTTGTACAATTGTTCTCACTTCCTGCCCTGGTGACCATATAGAAAGTAAGAAGTAAGAAGATCCTCCAAACAGGGACAGAGCCGACAACAAGAACTTGAAAGAAGTTGTTACCTTTCCCCACTTAACTAAAACTATTGCTGTCTGCACACCCGTTGGGGAAATTTTAATGGCCGTATGGAAAGTGAGGACAAATCTGCCCACACATGATCTAAACCTTCTCCACTCTATCCAAAACTAAAAAAAAGTTTTGGCTGGAGTTTAGCTTTTATGCAGAACTCAAAAGCTAGTCAGTGAAAACTTTGAGTCACCAGTCTTAAAATAGCTGAGCAAGATACATTTCTCTTGACAAAAATAGAACATGTTCAGGTCTCTTGATTTGTGTCTGTCCAAGTTCTAGGGGCATATTTATGTAGCAGTAAATCTGACATAAACTAAGCATTTACTGCAAGTGAATCTTCCAGCTGCACGTTTTAAATTACACTAATTGATTTACCACCAGTGAATGTTTATTGGAAGTTGCATTTGCTGCTTTATAAATATACAGTAGCTGAGCAGATACCGTTCACATAGCGCTAGCTCCCCTGGATGGTGCTGAGAAGTATATGTGCTGTACTCCTCAGCGTCATCTAGGGTCGCTATCGCGGTGTGAACGGCAACTGCCCAGCTATATGCTCAGCAGAGGTTTTATAGTAAAAACATGTTCATGTTAACAAAATGAATCACCTGATTCCCTCCTGTTGAAATCTTCAAAATACCATCTTGCCAGACTTTAGACTTTTTTGTTTTTTGATGAGTATATAAAACCTGAGTAAAGAAAAAAAGGCCAATTATTATGCTAAACAATATGTTGCATATCCTTTCATGGTAAGGTATATTTTATCAGGGCTATTCACAAAAGGGTGAAGAGCTTGGAGAAGGCAGGACAAGTGAACAATCTAGGACAACATTGCTGATTTAGAAAGTGAGCTGAATTGAAGATTTTTTCTAAATCAGCTATGTTGTCCTAGATTGTTCACTTCTCCTGTCTTCCCCAAACTCTTCACCATTTTGTGAATAACCCTGTATATCTTTGTGACCAAGGTGATCCTTGTAAAAAGCTTCACCTGATATTTTTCCTTGGTTGGCTACCAGTTGTTTGAGCACAGTGCAACAATCTATATCTCACTGTAGAGGAAGACTTTTTTTTTTTTTTTAAGTAAAAGCAATGTTGCATTGTCAGGCATTTGTTGCTGAATCATGAACAAACTGCCCAGCGCTATATTTAAACAAATGCATACATCAAATATTTTTAAAAGTCCTCATAAAAGTATTCAAGGATCCAAACGATGCCACAAATCTTTCAACCAACTTGAACAAAAGTCCCAGTAAATTTGTGCAAACGATACAAGCAGTGTAAAAATCCCCACAACATTTGAGCAAACGATGCAATCAGGTGATCACTCTCCCCATCCGTGTGTGGCCACAGACTGCACTCACCAAATGAGCTGCACCATTTAAGCTGGCCATACACTTTACAACCATCGCACGACTTTCATCTTGCGATGGTTGTAAACAAATTAAAAGCGATTTTCGGCTGGTTTTCCAACATGCTAGTAAGACAAAAGACGTGCGACCGTACAGTAGAAACGGTCGCACGCCTTCCATACACCTGCTGATCATCATACGATCGCGGGATTTCCCGCAATTATCATACGATAATCGGCAGGTGTATGGCCAGCTTTAGATAGCAATGGTCTTACAGCACTCAGATTACAATCCATCCACAGGGATGTTAAACCGACAGCATTCCCCTTTACCTCGTTTTCGCCATTCACCAATACTAATGTAGCATTGGTGAATGGAGTAAAAAGAGGTGAAGGGGAATACTGACCGCAGTAGCCGGAGGAAACCCACACAAGCACGGGGAGAATATGCAAAACACCAGATAGTGACCTGGCGAAGTTTGGTGAAGATTCAAACTGGGGACCCCCCAGTGTTGCAGGCACCATTATTAATGACATCATTACAAGACAGAATGTCAGAAATACTTAGTGCCAGCAAAGATGATTTGAGACAATGAAAGCTCAGATTTATTAAATATGAAATAAGCGAGTTATGATCACATTTGAAAAGGTTTCAACAAAAAAGCTCTTTGTAGATGCAGATCTATGCAGGCTGGCAGTTAGGGGTTTACAATGCCTAGTAAACAATGAAACTTACTGTGAATTCTTGGGCAGACATTGTATCGCCTAAGGAACCATTTATCTTTTGGACAGGTCACCTAAACCGAAGAACAAGAAGAAAAGGAGCAAATCCAACAATAAAATACAAAAGTAGTATAACTTAAAAGATATTTGACTTTTAAAAAAAATGAGAAAAAAGAAATGACATTTAAAATGCTGGGCGAAATTTCGGTTAATCTGATAGTTCAACATGGCAAAATGAATCAACAATACAAGCAACATTTCTTTATTGTTAACACTATAAAAGGTTATAGAAAAGGTGCCTGTACCTTCCTTTATCTTCCTGAGTGTCTTAGGAAACCAATATACTACTGTTTATTTTGGGTAGAGGTGGTCAATCAATATCTCTGCAACTATTCTCATTAGTATCCATTAGTTGGTTGGATCCACTAGCTCTCTCCCCCACGCTGGGAGGAGGGCACATCAAGCAGTGGGCGGGTGCAATAGCCAGCCTGCTATTGGCTATTGCAATTTGAAATGGCCAATAGCAGCCAACTTCCTGCTATATTTACATTCAGCTGCCGTCTACAGAATCTTGCCACAGGCAGCTGTCATTCCCTGGCTAAAGCTCTTCAAACGCCATGTGCTTACAATACAATTACAGTATTTTTAAAAATAATATATAAATTGTGGGAAAAAAAGTCATTTTCGGTTTTGGCCTGACAAATTCTGCTGCGGGAGGTGCGTTGCAGTACCATTCATTTCAATGGCACCCCAATCGCGCCTCCCACCCACAGTGTGATCGCCCGTATTGGAACGCACAGTACCGCAATACCGTGCATTCCAGTGCCGTGTGATTGAAAAAATTTGTACATGCAGTTTTATTCTGAAGTAAACTTTATGTTTGTAACACTCCATTTGTGTATTTTACTTCAAATTAAGTGTGGCATTTAATTATATTAATCCAATGAATCGGAAAAAAAAAATCGGTCAACTAATCGATTATGAAAATAATCATTAATTGCAGCCCTAGTGCATTGCCAAAACCATGTACGCTTGTATCTGACTGTATATGGTTCTGAGATCTTCCCATATTGTTAAAAGAGACCTATGGGGTCATAGTTTTTTTGCACTTTTAAATTCCTAATGATACTGGAGATACATATTGTCATGTAATCAGAAACGCACCATAAGCTTGTTATTTAACATATTACTGCTGGGCTGGGCTGGGCTAAGCACTGTACTGAGGAGTGATCCCGACAATACTATCTGGATCCTCCCCACTGGTCTTTCCCCCCCTGTGACTGACAGCGCATGTTACGAGCCGATGCGCGTTTATGAATATATGCACTGACGCATCAGATCTGTACCCGGAGCTCTCTCCCTGTCTCCCCGCCTTCCCTCCACACGCTGCTGTGTCAACATCTTGTCCCCGCCTTCCCTCCACACACTGCTGTGTAAACATCTTGTCCCCGCCTTCCCTCCACACGCTGCTGTGTAAACATCTTGTCCCCGCCTTCCCTCCACACGCTGCTGTGTAAACAACTTGTCCCCGCCTTCCCTCCACACGCTGCTGTGTAAACATCTTGTCCCCGCCTTCCCTCCACACGCTGCTGTGTAAACATCTTGTCCCCGCCTTCCCTCCACACGCTGCTGTGTAAACATCTTGTCCCCGCCTTCCCTCCACACGCTGCTGTGTAAACATCTTGTCCCCGCCTTCCCTCCACACGCTGCTGTGTAAACATCTTCTCCCCGCCTTCCCTCCACACGCTGCTGTGTAAACATCTTGTCCCCGCCTTCCCTCCACACGCTGCTGTGTAAACATCTTGTCCCCGCCTTCCCTCCACACGCTGCTGTGTAAACATCTTGTCCCCGCCTTCCCTCCACACGCTGCTGTGTAAACATCTTCTCCCCGCCTTCCCTCCACACGCTGCTGTGTAAACATCTTGTCCCCGCCTTCCCTCCACACGCTGCTGTGTAAACATCTTGTCCCCGCCTTCCCTCCACACGCTGCTGTGTAAACATCTTGTCCCCGCCTTCCCTCCACACGCTGCTGTGTAAACATCTTGTCCCCGCCTTCCCTCCACACGCTGCTGTGTAAACATCTTGTCCCCGCCTTCCCTCCACACGCTGCTGTGTAAACATCTTGTCCCTGCCTTCCATCCACACGCTGCTTTGTAAACATCTTGTCCCCGCCTTCTCTCCACACGCTGCTGTGTAAACAACTTGTCCCCGCCTTCCCTCCACACGCTGCTGTGTAAACATCTTGTCCCCGCCTTCCCTCCACACGCTGCTGTGTAAACAACTTGTCCCCGCCTTCCCTCCACACGCTGCTGTGTAAACATCTTGTCCCCGCCTTCTCTCCACACGCTGCTGTGTAAACAACTTGTCCCCGCCTCCCCTCCACACGCTGCTGTGTAAACATCTTGTCCCCGCCTTCTCTCCACACACTGCTGTGTAAACAGCTTGTCCCCGCCTTCCCTCCACACGCTGCTGTGTTGGGTCCATCTCTTGTCTGCTTCATACCATGAGCCGCTGCCTCATCTTCTGGACTGAGCCTCTCTCTCCTATGTGACAGCGTGCACGCTCGGGTCCCAAACACAGGTGTGCGCTCATTGGGAAAGTATGGCCACACAGAGACTTGTCTGTTTGAAAAAAATCACAGGCCAGGCTGCAATATTTTTTCCTTACCCCGTAAGAAGAATCAAGCTGGGCACAACAAACAATAGGACAAAGAAGACCCAGGACTGTTGAGCAGTTAGAATCATATATCAGGCATGAGTGGAACAACACTCTTCTCCCAGAACTCCAGCAACTGGTCTCCTCAGTTCCCAGATGTTTACCGAGTGTTGTTAAAAGAATAGGGTATGCTACACCGTGGTAAACACGGTCCTGTCCCAACCTTTTTTTGAGACATGTTGCTGCCAGCAATTTCAAAATGACCTGATTTTTTTCTTAAAACTGTAGATTTTCTCAGTTTAAACATTTGATATGTTTTCTATTTTCTATTGTGAATAAAATATGAGTCTATGAGATTTACAGATCATTGCATTCTGTTTTTATGTAGATTTTACACAGCGTCCCAACTTCATGTCCATCAAATCCATGCGTGTATGGTTAGCCTTAAGGTGCCCATACACCTTATGACCATCGCAAGACTTTTGTCTTGCGATGGTCGTATGCTTACTGAAAGCTCGTACGATCTGCCCACCTTGGACGGGCAGATCGTACTTGCGATCATCGAAAGCCCGCCCCGCTGAGGGGCGGGCTTCTGATGACCGCAATGCAGAACGGGCAGTGTGCGCGTGCGCACACCGGCCCGTTCCACAGCTATCGAACGAGCAGGCTAGAAACCCGCCGACAATCGTACGATTCTCGGCGGGTTTTCGAGCATGCTGGTTCGACAAAAGACGTGCGACCGTGTGCGCACACCGGCCCGTCCCCCAGCTATCGAACGAGCAGGCTAGAACCCCGCCGACAATCGTACGATTCTCGGCGGGTTTTCGAGCATGCTGGTTCGACAACAGACGTGCGACCGTACAGTAGAAACGGTCGCACGCCTTCCATACACTGCACGATTCTCGTACGATCGCGGGATTTCCAGCGATTCTCCTACGAGAATCGTACAGTGTATGGGCACCTTTAGTGTACATCTGGAAGTTATTCTATGTGTCGTTCAATGCAGGGCTGGACAAATCCCAGCAGCCAGGTGGCCAATGTGCCTTAAAGAAGAACTCCAGGAAAAATTGTATTAACCTTTGCAGTGGGGCTACCTCTGCACTATAAGGTTTAAGTGCCCTTTGTGTCTAGGTGCTAATAAAAAAAGAAAGTTATACTCATCAGACCATTCGAGCCAGCTTGTTCTTTGAACATCGTCTCGAGTGTGTCCTCCCTCTGCTGCAGCAGTCTAAGAATCCTGGTGTCATCACGTTTTATACACTGTGCATAGACGTGAGGACGCCAAGAGCAATCCATCTGTGCATTGGAGGAGGAGACACAATTCAGTGATCACTGAAGCTCGGAGCAAGCTCCAATGATCTGGTGAGTGTAACTTAACCCTTGCACTGTGGGGGTAGCCCCACTGCAAGGGTTAATACATTTTTAACCAGAATTAAACATTGCCGCTGGTGTCTAACTTTTGTGGTTTCCCTTTGTTGTTATCAATGGAGTTGGCACCTACAAAATCATTCTGCTGGCTACTGCATTGGACAGACTGGATCCTGAATTCCATATTAATTTGTCCGCCCCTGTGGTATGAATGAAGGGAAATCTAGGTGTATATGGTTAGCCTTGCTGTACATCTGGAAATCATTCAATTTGAAATCCAATGCATTCCTTGAGGAACCTTTATCCGTGCTTTTTAGTGTGGATAGGGAAAATCAAGTGATTTGCTCTCAGTTAAGCTGGCAGTATGCTGTTATTTGTTTTTAACAGATTGCTTCATCCACACCAAACAGCCTGGATGGATAACTCTATCGCTGTGTGCTTCGTATTCTGACAGCAGACAGTACTGTCAGAATACTCGAATAGTGATGGAAGCTGATTGGCTACAGTCACTGATTGCCCAAAGATTTTCCATCTGGCTCCTTTACATTTCTGATCAAAGGATGTTGATTGGAAAGGTGCTGACAGGGGCACCCACTATGTACATTTCAGCCGGGTCATCTAGAACCGGACAACATTTGTACAGTGTATGGCCATGATCCCCTAAAGTTCTGTCACTATTATCCCCACCTTTTCCCTCTCACGTCCGTAACTCCCTAGTTGGCTTCACCTGAAAGAAAGCAGACTGCTAAGCACTCATGTACTGACATAGGCCTTCCATACACATTACAATCCTTATACAATGAACTTTAGATTTACCAAATCTATGTAATATGAGGACCTACCTAAGCTATCCAATCAGTCTGTATCCAGTCAGACAAGCTCTGGCACTAGATAGCTGTTGATAGATCTATAGGCGGTTGTACAATCAGATTGTAACGTGTGCGGTGAGCTTGAAAGAAAACTATGGGGTAAGTGTTTTTCCCCTTAGCTCTCTTTAGGGTCACAGGACATATACCAGCGTCCTCCCGTGACCCAAAGCTTAGTATATAAGGAGCTACAGCTCACGGTATTCTGAGCCCGCCACAGCCGAATCCCGACATTACTGTCGAGATCCACCCAGCTGCGTGAGTGACAGCTGGCTCCGCCTATCCAGAGGCAGAGCCAGCTGTACCCGCTCCCGTCCGTTCCGCCAGTGAGCTCTGGAGGACCGGAGCGGGGAGGGGGAAATCCCTGCAGGGAGCCGTGAGTGGCGACGGTATGTGTTCACTCACTTCCCGATCTATTGAGCCAAAGTGTGACAGTTTCATTGTCACACGTCGGCTCGAACTATGAGGGTGAGTGATTTTCAGTCACCTCATAGTTCTCCTTTAAGTTATCTCTACCCACATGGCTGCTGTAATATCAGGAAACACATCCTCTCAGTACTCACCTCACTCTCTCGTGTTTTCTTTTACCAACCTACATTTAGCACCAGTGTATTATTTTATTAGTGACACCTGTATACAATGGCTAACCACAGACTACACATAACTACAATGTCACCTAATGTTTCTACTCACATCTGGTAGCTTTTCGTACAATTCGCGCTTGTTGACGTCACAATCCCGCGACGGCTAGAGGGTGGCGCTAACCATGGTGTACTTAGTACCAACTCGCTTGGGATTGCTTTGTTTATGCTGAGATTTGTATTCATTGTAAACAGGTAAGAAAGCAGTGCTTGGCACGTGGGTAGGGCGAATTCGGGTGTCGGGCATGTTAAGGTTACTATGGTAACGCAGGCACAAAGAGGGCAGCCCTTGGACTGTAGAAAGGGTGGGGTCCTTAGTTGCTGTAGGTCGCTTGCCTAGTGACGTTTTCCTCCGCTCTCTACTATAGAATCTTATTCGCAGAGGGAGAGTGACATGTGAAGGCGGAAGGTGAGCGGAGTCTGGGAGCTCGGGTTATAATAATATACAAGTCATGTCTTCTTATGCTGCTGGTGATGTAAAGAGTTGGTTGTAATCCGTGTAGTTGTGTGTTATTGCTGTGTGTACACTAATCCGATAATGAACGGGCAGGGGTCATCATCTGCACTACTATTGTGACCACGAGGGGGCAGAAGTGTGGAAATGCTATTTCTTTGTATAAACATTCACACGGTTATTCACAAAAGGGTAAAGAGTTTGGAGAAGTGAACAATCTAGGATAACATAGCTGAACTGGAAAGTGAGCTGAATAAGATTGTTGCCTTCTCCGAACTCTTCACCCTTTTGTCAGTAACCCCCACAATGTTAAGTGTGACATGCTCAGACTCTGGAATCTGAATCCTGTTAAAAATGTCAGGGTTTTGCCATTCGTGTCCTATTGTCCCATAGACAGGAAGTGAGATGAATCCTCTTGTAGAGAGTTGTCCCTAAAAGAGATGTCCCCATTGGATGATTTCTTTTCTATTCATGTACCATTGATAACCTAATTTAGCCTTAGTCCACTCCTTGTGATCGTCACCAGGACAAATAGAGGGGGCAAATCTCGATATGTGGATGCAACAATAAAAACCTGACGGGTTTTGGTCCCTCAACACCAGATCCAAAACTAAAAAAAAAAAATTAAAAGGGTTTGGCTCTAGATATGCTTCAGATGTGTTGAAAGCCCAAACCGTTTGTTTTGGATGGAGGGGGCAGTGGTTAGAAGAACCTCTGTCAGGTTTTTTATTTTACTCATTTTTCCCTCCCTCCCTTTGTCATAGACTCAATAGAAATTATGATAGGTGATCTCTACAAAGTGACGGGTGATTCTGTTTTTAAGGTGCCCATACACCTTACATCTGGAGATTTTTGTCTGCAATTGCGTTTTCGTCTGAAAATCTGCCAGTTGATGGGGAGTGCAGAACCTCAATTACTGTACAACTGGCAGATTTTTGTCTTTCATGCAGGCTAGAAAACTTTTGTCTAGTTGGATGAAAATTGACAGGTTAGTGGCGTTGTTGTACAACAAAAATCTCAAGATGAAAACTGCACATGCTCAAACTAAAATCTGTCCTTTCGATCGATGAAAATTGGCCAGGTGGTGGCGCTGATGAGCGTTAATTGTAAACTACATTGGTCTGTGCATGATGGGCTAGTTGAAAGAAAATTGAGTATTTGGGTGAGTACTCGTACTCACCCAAATGCTCCGATGCCTAGCCCGATACTTCCGGTATCAGGAAGCGGGGCAACAAGTCATTACTCTTGTGACAAGGGAGCATGGAGCCGGCTTCCCAGCCAATCAGGAAGCCGGGCAGCGTGTAATAGCTCGCTTACCCGACTTAGTCGTGTAATGACACAGCGCCCAGCTTCCTGAATGGCCAGAAAGCTAACTCCATGCTTTCTCGTCGCCTAGTGTCGAAAAAGCATGGGGATGGCTTCCCTGCTAATTGGGAAGCCGGGTGGCGAGTCTATACACGCTTCCCGGCTAATCAGGAAGCCAGTTGGCGAGTCATTACACGCCGCCTGGCTTCCTGAACAGGACTTCTGGTATCGGTATTGGCGAGTACTGGAAAAAAAGATATTGGTACTCGATACCAAAATACCGGTATTGGTGTATGGCTTCCTATACACAGTTGTCATATCCCAGTGGAAAATGTCCTCTTGTCTTGTTCTGGTGACAACTCCGATTTTTTTAGCTTTCATATCACTTTGTGTCCCACTGAATAGTGATCACCAGGTCAGATAAAGAGGACCAGTCTACCCAGTGGCGACATCGTCAGCAATGCATTCCTGAGGTTCACACACGTTATGGTAACTGTAATGAAAATAAAGGTTCGGCTTCAGATAATCTCAGGAACAAACATTTTTGGAGCTTGCCAATCTTGGATCCGATGGCGTCATTCGTTTTTTCTTTCTTTTTTTTTTTTACTTACTTTCTCCTGGTGTTCCTGCTGGTAACACTCTTCCTGTCCTAGGGTGACTACTTTCACTCACAGTACTGTAGTGGTGCAGCGTTGTTCCCTCTGGACTGGAAATGTATGTGGGTTTCAGAACACCTACCCCTCTCCTTATCTCTATAACTTGGTGGAGGATTCTTTAGTCCACAGAGAGAACTGGAAACAATGTAACTAATAAGTGTGCAGTACAGGCAGAGAGCTCAGGAAATTAGCAGCTCACTGGATTTCCGGCAGGATCAACAGATTTTTGTTTGGACATATTGAACAGGTATAATAACATGCTTTAAATGTTTTTTATCAGACCAAAAGGGAGAACAATCAGTGGTATAGTTATTAGACCAAAAGAAAATAAAAAATAAATAAAGTGATGACAAAAATATATATTATGCCTTCAAACTCTGCTGCTTTGCTAGTGCCTAACCGCTGCAGGTATCCAACACTAATGGGTGTGTGGAATACATGTTCCTCCGCATACTGTGTCATGTCCCGTAGCATGTATCAGAAGGAGTACGTTTTAACACATCTGGAAGTGTCATGTACCAGAATGTATCTTATTTGTGTATCACTCGGCTGTAGATCCTGAAATCATCTCTGAATTGGTGCTGACACTGTCCTTCCTTCTTTGAGGGTGGCTACTTTTCTTCCCCATGGTCTCTGTGTGTGTTGCACAGTAGCCACCACTCCAGGTTCACTCCTGTGATGGACTACAATCTCATGTTTAGTTTACTAATTTGTACTGAGATTGTAGTCCATCACTGGAGTGAGCTTGGATCGGTGACTACATTACAACACACACAGGGACCATGGGGAACAAACGTAGTCACCCTCCAGAAGGAAGGACAGTGTCAGCACCAATCCAGAGATGATTTGAGGATGTACAGCTGAGTGATACACAAATAAGATAACTTTTTATTAGTTGGGGTACTTGAATGCATTTTTAAGATTTAGCCCCTGAGTGCAATGGCACCTTAACAAGCTATGTAACTTAAAAAGTTCACTTTAATCTATCTTTAGTTGCTGAACTATTTCACCTAAAGTTCACAGATATGAGTTATTAAATCCCCCAACAGATGAGAAGTATACACAGGAGATGGCTGTTTGTTTTTTTCTATTTTTATTTTTTTTTACTAACAGATGCCAGTGCTCATCGTGATCTGTGCCTTTGTTTAGGTATCAGAATGACTGAGAGGGAAATGGACACACCAAGAAGCAAGGGGAAAGAAGATGAAAGCACAGAGATGAGGAAGGAACGGGAGAAGAAGAAGCGCTCTCGGGTAAAACAGCTGCTGGCTGACATTGCCAAGCAGGTGGACTTCTGGTTCGGTGATGTTAACCTTCACAAGGATCGCTTCCTGTGTGAGCAGATTCAGAAATCCAGAGATGGCTGTAAGTCCAATTGTGGAATTTGTTTATTTTTGTACCACATGTTTTAGATTTTTAAAGTGACCAGCAAGCCCATATCAGGGCTCTATCAACATCACTCCCTGTTCTTCTTTACGCTGAAGATAGGTCTTAATGACATTGGCTGCATGTTTGGAATCCTTGTCCTGCTGCAGAATACATTTTGGGCTTCCTGATTAGCCGGGAAGGCGTGTCCGTGCTCCCTCGTCACCAGGTAATGAGGAAACATGGAGCCGGCTTTCTGGCCAATCAGGAAGCCAGGGGGCAGGTAACGACTCGCCATCTGGCTTCCTGATTGGCCAGCTTACCGACCAATCAGGAAGCTGGAAGGCGAGCCATCAGATGCCGCCCAGCTTCCTGATTGGCCTGGAAGCCGACTCCATGCTTCCTCGTGACCAGGAAGCATGTAGCCAACTTTCTGGCCAATCAGGAAGCCGGGGTCGGGTAATAACTCACTGCACGGCTTACTGATTGGTCGAGAAGCCAGCCAATCAGGAAGGCGGGCAGCAAGTCATTACACACCGCCCGGCTTCTTGATTAGCAGGGAAGCCAACTCCATGCTCCCACGTCATCAAGTATCAGGTGCATTTGGGTGAGTATGAGTAGTGATCATACATAGAGGGATACATTGGCAGAATTTGATTTTTGAGTCTATTCTTTGTCTATTCTTAAACTTCGGTTTTTGGGAAAATATGTTTGCTGCCAGAAAAGAGATTGTATATTCTAGCCTATGTTTTGTTTTTTCTGTGTGTGCAAGATGAATGGTCTGCTAAATCCCAATCTAGATTTTGGTGTAGTTTACTGACTTCACATGGATTTTAGATTGTTCCATCTGAAGCAAGGATCAAAAAACATTCTGAAAATGTTTTTTGACCCTTGTACAAAAAAATAGGATCTGTTTACATCTCAGTATTTTTCCTGCATTATCATCCATATGTCATGTTTTTACATTCAGCCCAAAGAGAAAACTGTCCCTAAAATGTAGCACACTGCAGTAATAGCATGTCTTCTGTTCTTTTTTGCAGTCATTGATCTTTCTCTACTGGCCTCATTTAACAAGATGAAGAAGCTGACTACAGATGCTAAACTTATTGCCAGAGCTGTCAAGAATTCCTTAGTTGTAGAGGTGAGTAGGTTCCCAGTAACTCTGGTTATGTCTTGAAAGAGACGCGGTCACCTTGCCCATGCAGAGGGGGGTCAAGCAACCAACTTGTACTGACCTTGCTAGTGTTCTCCTGCCTCCTTCCTTTTCCATCACAGATGGCTGTAATACCTAGTACTTACAGTTATGGCAGAGCATGTGACCTTCTCCTCTGTGACAGCGCTTGGGTCCAGCAGTTTATCGCTAGGCTAGAGCACTGTCCTATGACCTGGAGATTGACATCACTGCTTCCCCCTAGTGTTTAACCCCAACTGAGACTAGGGATCCAAGTGGCAGCTGGTAACATGAATATATGCTTCAGAGGGATGGCTTTGTAACGACACTGCATGGGCAAGGCAACAGTATTTCTTTAAAGTAATCCTGTGTCCAAACTATATGTAATAATAACAATGACATGAGGTGCGCAGGCACATGCAGGTGTTTGCCATGCATAGAAAATACCAGTTTTAGATGCATTGAAAATGCAAGGGTACCTGTCAAAGAGCAGCATATATAATACTTGTTTGTCTCCATTCAAGGTGAATTTAGAAAATACCAAAATCAGGAGGAGGCATCCACTTGGGCAGAAACCTCAGGATGTGGATGACCGAACTGTATATGCGGTAAGTGCTTTTATTTATTTTTTTAATGTTGTTCAGATTGACAGAAGAAACCATAAACCATCTAAAGAATTGCACAAGGACACTAGAAAGCAGGACTCTGAATGAACTGAAGAGGTAGGGCCAACACTGATGGCCAGTAAGGCTCTACTGCGTTGCACATTGCTCTTAGTGCAACACATGATTGCCTCGTCCGTGTGATCATGCTCCTATACATACTTTCATTGTCTAGTCAACAGGCAGAGGGAAGTCCAAAGACAAGCGATATTGCTTCACTGCAATAGAAACAAGTGTGGTAACAACTGGCTTTCCAGCCTAGCTAAACATACTTGCAAGTCTTTTGACAGGTAAGGCAGGTAGTATAATTTTTTTTTTCCAATGATGCATGTGAGCTGTTCATCTAAATTTCACTTGTAATAAAGAAACCCTGACATCACATTAATATAACAAGACACCCTATAAATTCAATGCCTGCAATAGTCAGGAGCATAAACATTTGACTATCTTTTTTTTTTTTTTTTTACATTCATCTACAAAACTGTGTGCTGATACATTTTTTTTTTCCATGAAATACAGAGTCTGACACTATTTTAGACTTTATTATAGCAGTAAATCATGTATTTAACACATGCCTTCTATCTATTGCAGTAGTTACTGCTTGTTTTGTAGTTCTGACAGCTCCATTAGATATTAGCACAAGTGTTTTGTGGAGCAGAAATTCAAATCATGCCAAGTGTCACAAAATTAAGGTTTCTCTGTTATGCTTCACTGAGCTGCATACAGTCAGACTTGGAAGTTGCTGGCACACCTAATGTGACAATTTGTGGAGTGAGAAAGCTGTTAATTTGCATAGTATCCCCTCTTCGGAGGCATGACACTAAAAAGTATGATAATTTTTTTAGTTTTCAGCGCTTCTCTCATTTTAGCGTATAAACAAATGATCATTTTAGACCAGAGCTGCAGTTCCCAAAATACAGCCCGTGGGTTAGTTACGGCCCGCTGTTTACAGTGGACCAGTCCCCGTAATGAGAAGGCACTGCATTGAAGAATGCTGGGAAGTGGGGTTGGTGACTTTAATTACTCCCACTGACTGTGTGTGTTTTTTTTTTTTTTTGTGTTTTTTTTTCTGTTTTTACTAATTATGAATAATTTCAAACACGTGTGTATGTATGTGTCTCAAAGCAGGTGTTTTTTTTTTTTTTCTCTAACCACTTTAATGTTTTAAACCCAAAAGAAAACAAACATTTAATTTAGTTTGTGTTCATTAAGGGACACGGGATTCTGATATTTAGACAGTTAGGTTATTCTTCTGCCTACAGGAGAAATTGGATACTAGCAAATGTGTATATATACACTATATTGCCAAAAGTATTGGGACACCCCTCCTAATCATTGGATTCCGTTGTTTCAATCACCTCCATGGTCACAGGTGTATAAAACCAAGCACCTAGGCATGCAGACGCTTCTACAAACATTTGTGAAAGAATGGGTCGCTCTCAGGAGCTCAGTGAATACAAGTGTGGTACCGTAATAGGTTGCCACATGTGCAATAAGTCCATCCGTGAAATTTCCTTGCTACTAAATATTCCACGGTCAACTGTTAGTGGTACTATAACAAAGTGGAAGCAACTGGGAACAACAGCAACTAAGCCATGCAGTGGTGGGCGACGTAAAATGACAGAGGGGGCTCAGTGCATACTGAAGCAGGGAAGTCATCAACTGTCTGCAGAGTCAATAGCTACAGACCTCCAAACTTCAAGTGGTCTTCAGATTGGCACAATAACAATGGAATGGGTTTCCATGGCCGAGCAGCTGCATCCAAGCGTTACATCACCAAGTGCAATGCAAAGCGTCAGATGCAGTGGTGTAAAGCACGCCGCCACTGGACTCTAGAGAAGGAGACGTGTTCTCTGGAGTGACCAATCGCGCTTCTTTGATGGGCAATCCGATGGACGTGTCTGGGTTTGGCGGTTGCCAGGAGAACGGTACTTGCCTGACTTCATTGTGCCAAGTGTAAAGTTTGGTGGAGGGGGGATTATGGTGTGGGGTTGTTTTTAGGACTTGGCCACTTCGTTCCGGTGAATTGAACTCTTAAGGCATCAGCATACCAAGACATTTTGGACAATTTCATGCTCCCAACTTTGTGGGAACAGTTTGGGGATGGCCCCTTCCTTTTCCAACATGACTGCGCACCAGTGCACAAAGCAAGGTCCATAAAGACATGGATGAGCGAGTTTTGGGGTGGAGGAACTTGGCTGTCCTGCACAGAGGCCTGACATCAACCCGATAGAACACCTTTGGGATGAATTAGAGCGGAGACTGCGAGCCAGGCCTTCCCATCCAACATCAGTTGGAGCTGTTGAAGCTGTTATAGCTGCATAGGGTGGGACAACTCAATATTGAACCCTAACGACTAAGACTGGAATGCCATTAAAGTTCATGTGCGTGTAAAGGCAGGCGTCCCAATACTTTTGGTGTGTGTGTGATTTATAAATCATTTCATCTGTGTGATAGCCTGCTGCAAAACAATATTGCTATAGCTATTGTTGGCACCACATGTTAAAAGTGCCCAGTATTTTGCTTAGCTTTACAGAACACTAGTTAATGCTCTCGTGTTGTTTTCTGTTTTCAGGAGCTACTTCCAAAGAATGTTAACCACAGTTGGATTGATCGGGTTTTTGGTAAATGTGGCTCAGTTGTCTATATTAGCATTCCCAGATACAAATCCACAGGTGACCCAAAAGGATTTGCATTCATTGAGTTTGAGACTCAAGCACAAGCTGCTAAAGCCATTGAGGTAATGTCTTTCCTCCTATTAGATATCACTGTGTCAATGAAAATTCACTCAATCGTAAATAAATCTGTCACAAGTTAGCAAAAGCTGCTGTTTTTGTTTTTTGTTTTTCTTTCATAATGAAATGGCATCCAGTGTGTGATCTTGAACATATGCTAACCACTGTTGCTCTGGGATTGGTATGCATCCACTCTCTGCTAATTGTTGTTTCTGCAGCTTTGCTAGTCTGTAAATTCCATGTATGTACACAAATAAAAGTCCTCGAGAGGAGTAGAGCACCAAGAGGCTTTTTTCCAAACAGCACATACAGCATTGGGTTACTTCTTTCGTGGACTCTTGTTTGTGTACATGCATGAGTATTATACTGAATCTACACAAGCAAACGTGTCCCTTCAGTAGAGGCGATCTTTTCTAGGATGCACTGTGATGCAGTGACAGTTTTAGAGCTTGTGTAGATGGCCTTTGTCTTTGAGTGCTGTATTTTACATTCAGTGAAAATCAAATATGTGCGATTGTTCTATTTGCAGTACATGCACTTGAGTAGCAGTTCACTTGCTATTCTGAGTACGGAGACTGTGCTTGATCTGGTTTTGCCTGCGGTGAAAGAACTTTTAAAGCAACGGGAACAGATCTCATTAGTTCCACTTGCATCCAGAGAAATGCAAAGCAGGTCAATCGCAGCCTCAAGCGGTCATCCAGACACAGCACAATTCCAGTAAATAGAAACTTGCAAGCTAGCTTGCTTCAAACACAAGTCAAATGCAGAAAATCGATATCCATTTCTACAAGGTGTCTTTACACAGGTTGAGATTGTTGCTTGGTACAGATATTGTTTTTGCAATTATGTGACGGTTCCATTGTGTATGTAGTGCCAGGTTGCTTCTGGTAATCTGTGCTTTCTCAGCAGAGCTGCACAATTGATTTGAAAAGGCCTCCAATTAGCTGTATTTATTTCTGAGCCAGCAGCAGCCTCGGTAGCGCGATATCATAGTTTGTGCACAATACATGTTGGAATGGTTGCATGATTTCTTCAAAAGGTTCATATCATGTAAAAATATCATCTAACTGTAACCAGATTAAGCCCTCATTCCCAGGTAAAAAGGCCGGCACGTACAGCTCCGTGCGGGGCCATATCGGGCAGCTCCCGGGAAGGACAGGTGCGGTGTGTGATAAGTACACAGCCCCTGTCTTTCTCTGTGGGACTATGCGGCCGTACGCCCCCCCTACGCTCACCCGCCCTGCACTTCTGTGCGGGTGTCCGTACTCGTATGCTGACAGGATGGATCCTGTCTGCGTCCGAGCCAGGAAACACGCACCCGTACGGACCTGGGGTGAGCATAAGGCGGCGTATGGCCGCGTAGTCCCATAGAGAAGGACGGGGGCTGCGTACTAATCACACACAGCACCTGTCCTTCCCGGGAGCTGCAAGATACGGCCGTGCACGGAGCTGTACGTGCCGGCCTTTTCTCGTGTGAATGAGGCCTTAGGGTTTCAATAGTATGAATGCTGGTATAAAACTGAGCTTGTTGTTCATGTTACAGAGGTAAACCATGTCAAACATTTCCTAATAATAAACCTCATGCCAGCAAATGTGTTTCACCTTACAGGTCTTCCACTCGTATCTTAACATTCTTTTTTTTTAAATGATTTCTTTAGTTCTTGAATAATCCTCCAGAAGAAGCACCAAGAAAGGCTGGGATTTTCCCCAAGACTATAAAAAACAAACAAGTTCCGGAGTTAGCAGTCTCTGAGTCAAGAGAGCTTGGTATGTACTCTGTTTTTTGTATGCATGTTCTAGTCTTAACTTTTCAATCAATGCAAAAAAAAACATACTTGTTGATGCTGCCAGAAATCGAATTAGCTTATAACTTCCCGTGCCTTCTGCTGACAATGGTTGGCCTTGTTACAAATTTTCTCTGAACTATACAACACCCTTCCCCACTATGTTGCTACGAAGAGGAGGAGGATATTTGTAGTCCTAATATATTTCTGTCCTAGGGTGACAATTCTAAACAGTGAACAGAGAACTGGCAGGTTAAAATGTAGGGAAAATTAGTGAAGGGGGAAAAAAGAAAAGTAATGCAGCCCCCACATTTAAGGACTGGTGAGAAGCAACGTTTGTTGTTGTCATTCTTTGCAGCGGTATGAGAACACTAACCTGTACCTGTTAACCATGCTAAGATGTATTTGTACCCGTTGACCACACGGTGTGAAGACAGACCATTTTTCTGTAATACACTTTCTCCCTCGCTGTGGCAAGGAAGGATCCTGACACCACCAGATTGAGAGCTGGCTCTGCATCTCTAAAGACATAGCCAGCTTTGACCGCCCCCATCCATCCCCAAAATATAAAATGTTTTGCTTTGGGCTTAGACACTTTGAATTTTGTTTTAGGTCTGTTAATCAAAGAATATCAATTATGTTCCTTATCAGCAGTTGGGTTCCAGCTGCATTAGTCATTTGTATAAATGGCTTAAAGGAGAACTATGGGGTTAAGGTTTTTCCCCATAGTTCTCCTGAGGGTAACGGGAGGACACAAACTAGCGTCCTCCCGTCACCCTAGGCTCAGTATACCGCGAGCTACAGCTTGCGGTATACTGAGACGCCACAGTATACTGAGAGCTACTGCTCGCGGTATACTGAGGTGCCGCAGCTGAAGCGGATCCCGACAATTATCTCTGGATCCACCCAGCTGCGTGAGTGACAGCTGCCTCTGCCTATCTAGAGGCAGAGCCAGCTGTCCCCGCCCCCTCCCCCGTCCGATCCACCAGTCAGCACTGGAGGATCGGAGCGGGGAATCCAGCCCCTCCCCTGTCACGGCAGGGAGCCATGAGAGGTGAGCGAACGCCGTATGTGTTCTCTCACCTCCCGATCTACTGAGCCGACCTGTGACAGTCTCATTGTCACAGGTCGGCTAGAACTATGAGGAGTGAAAAGCGCTCACCTCATAGTTCTCCTTTTTAAATGTTATCATTTCTAAAGAACTACTTACATTTTTTTTGACCAGGTAATAAGATTGTTTTCTCTCTGATCCAAAAGGATTCAACTCCCACTCGACTGTTATTATTCACAAAAAGTGTTAAGGTGGACCTCTACTTAATTGTTAACACAAGAAAGCTGCCATACGAGACCCATGTCGCCATTTCTGATCTCTCATTCTGAAAGGCTGATTGGCATTGGCTTCAATTCTTTGAGTCGCTGATCTAGAACCAGTATAGGGATAAAAACTTCCAACTTTTAGTTACTGAATTCTTGTTTTTGGTCTAAGGCTTAGATGTACTAAATCCATGCGTAACCATGTAACTGGCATTTTCAAGAGGAGACTAGAAATGGCAGCCCATGTATTTCTTCTTGTATAGATGTTAAGCTTTGCTGGGATGGGCATGAAATACTTGTCTTGGAGAAAATATTGTTCTGGTTTTACTCCAGTGTTTAAATTATAAATCTCATCATGCCTTTGCCTGGGAGAGTCATGCCTGTGGCAACCGGGTGTAAATAGACACACTGCTGGCCATAGACTTAGATTGGGCATCCGATCGGGTCCCCCTGAAAAACTGACAGGCGGACTCGATCAAGCCACCGTGTGAAAGGGGCCAACTGTTAACTTTGTTGTGTGAGAAAAAAGTCAATGATTTTATTTTTATTTTATTTTTTAAGTATAATTTACTGTTTAAAGTAGAAGTCAAGACCAAAAATGTATTTCCTCGTTGCAAGCAGGATTTTTGATGTGTGAAGCATCAAGTCTTGGTCTGGATCAGGGTAACATTCCCTTTTGGACTGTAGTGTTGGCACAATAATATAATGGCAACTGTGTGTGATGCAGAGTAAAAAAAAATTCTCAGTGTCATGTGACTACATCACATACCGTGTTTCCCTGTAAATAAGACACTGTCTTATATTTTTTTGGCTCAAAAAACACACTAGGTCTTATTTTCGGGGTAGGTAATCCACACTTATTCATGTAGAAAAGTCTACATGTATTCTTGTACAAAAATATGGTGATCAGGGCAATCACCTTTCCAAGATGCATTTTGCTAACCAATCACTGGCCAGAATGAGCGAAGCGCACTTTCCCTATCGATTCCTCACAGTCGGAGTGCATTTGATATCACCCCGCCTGTGACAGGAGCCGGCGCTATAGATGAAGCAACGGCTTATGCGGCTCTGCTCCCTCCGGTGCCACCTCGCTTCCTGTAGCGCTGGATTCGTTGGCAGCGCTTATTCTCTCCTGCCTCTCCCGCAGCTCTTCAAGTTCCCTCTTATGCCACCACCGGCCCTGGGAATGGTCACAACTAGGTCTTATTTTCGGGGTAGGTCTTCTATTTTGCAATTTCCACAAATACTACTAGGTCTTATTTTCGGGGAAACAGGGTATTACCAGCTACTGTCCCACTGCCTAGGCATGTGTTTATTCCATGTACTTGGTGTTTCTCTGCTGAACGATATCATTACTCTAAAGCCTTTACTCTGTTTCCTAGAAGAGAAAAAGAAGAAGAAAAAGAAAAAGTCTAAGAGTAGAAAAGAGAGCGAGGAAAAAGCTGAGGAGGAAAATAATGATGCGCCTTCTAAAGAGGAAAGGCCTAAGAGGCATCGCAGTGTGTCAGAAAGCTCAATGACGGAGTCATCAGATACTAATAAACACTCATCAAGAAGGGAAAAGAAGAAGAAAGATAGAGCAGAGAGCTCTGACCAATCTGATGAGGTTAGATCATCCAAGAGAAGACGTACCGAAAGCAGCTCAGAAGAGCATGACTCCTTCTATTCAAAGCAAAGGAAAACCCATTCTGAATCTGTAGATTCAAAGTCTTCTAGAGACCTTCTGGAGTGTAAAGGTAATGCATTGTATTTCTCATTTGTAATTATGCCGAATTCTTTATATGGAACACAGCCTGGGAGGTCCAACGCTGCTTGACTATTATTTACAATGAAACATCAAGTAGTCCTATACACAAATGTTAACACAAAAGAAAGCTGCCATGTGGGAATTAGGCAGCTATTTTTTTTCTAAATGCTACTTGCCTTGCAGAAATTAGTTGGGCAAAGGTTAAAGGGTAAGTTTACTTTCCCAGGTGAATTTGGGAAAATGAAATTACCCACTTAAATCTGCCCCGCCCCCCGTTATCCATCCCCTTCCGCTGGTATCTGTAGCCTGTACTGATCGATAGCGCAGCCCTGCACAATGGATTTTTAATTTCGCTTAAACATTGCAAGCTCTCAGGTGACCGTGCTGACCAATGAGTGCTCGCAATTTGCAAGCAAAATTCAATATCCATAGCGCAGGGCTCTCCTCAACGCTGGGCACTGGCTACAGGAGTCTGTGTCCCCTCCAATCCCTACTGGGAGCAGTGGGGATCAGATGCAACACGGAGGCGAGAACTAGGGGACCCAGACCAACTTATCGATTAATGAGAATTGATCACAACTATTTTCATTATCAGTTATTATCGATTAGTTGGTTGTAGCCCTATAATTTACCCTTTTAAGATGCTGCTAAACTGATATACAAGCCCATCTTTTTGTTATGTAACCCCTGCCTCTGCTGCTGCTTCTTGTAATGGTGACCCGTCACTGATGCTGCTGTGTACTATGCAAGAGTCCAGTCACCTGATCGCTTAGGTTGTCTGAGAGCAAGGAGCTAATTAAAGTGACACTAAACTCAGGAGTTAAACCTTAAAAATGCATTCAAGTACCGTTTTAATTATTAATAATACTGTGCCTTATTTGTGCTGTAGATCCTTAAATCATCTCTGAATTGGTGCTGACAGTGTCCTTCCTTCTGGAGGGTGGCTACTTTTTCTTCCCCATGGTCCCGTGTGTGTTGTTAAGTAGCCACCGCTCCACAACCTCACTGATGGACTACAATCTCATGTTTAGTTTACTCATCTGTATTGAACTCTATCATAGGAGCAATCTTGCAGCGGTGACTACTTTACAGCACACACGGGGACCATGGGGAACAAAAGTAGCCACCCTCCAGAAGGAAGGAAAGTGTCGGCATCAATTCAGAGATATGTGAGAATCTACAGCGAGTGATACACAAATGAGATACATTTTTTGTTTTAATATAGTACTTGAATGCATTTTCAAGATTTAACTCTAAGTTTACTGTCACTTTAATTACATTGGTGTTGTAATCTCTGAAAGTTTCTCACAGCTCTGCATCTACTGTGTAATTGACAGACAGTGCCCACAAACTGAAACATACCTATCCCCTGCTACTAACAGGATGCTTATGAATTGGCCTGGGTGGGACTATTGACAGGTAGGTTTAGCAGTAATCAGTGGCCAAACTCCAATTAATAATTCACCTATGAAACTGCCCACAAAATGAAGGTTCATGGGAATGTTGTATTGACCAGAATCTGTGCCACTAGCTATACCCTCCCAGGGTTTTATGACTGTAGAGATTTGCACTGCTGATTTGTTACTCGCCATACAGCAAATATTTATATAATATGATCTGTGCCAGTATCAGTGATGGGAGCTCTGGATGCCACTAATAGGTACTTAATGTGAGATAACCTGTCTGTTCATTTAAAAAGACTTTGTTGCTGCCCTAAGAGTGAAGACAAGAGGGATTCAGTGGGATGTCTGTCTTCATGGTTGCCCTTGTTGATGTGTGGGATTTTGTTTTGTTTTTTTGTATTTTATCAGAGTTATCTACAGAAGAAGAAGAAGAAAAGGAAATAAGTGACAAGAAAGACACATCTGCTCTGAAAGTAAAACGGAAAAGAAAGAAGAAACATAAGGAGAGGCATAAAGTTGGGGAAGAGGTGATTCCACTCCGAGTCCTGTCAAAGTATGTACTGGACATCATCTTGTTTCCAACAGTGTAATCTGCAAACTGTAACCTATGGGATGTTATGCTTATCCCTTCTGTTGTAACATTTTTCACTGCTGTGATCTCCCACCATCATAGACATAATGCAGTGGGCAGTGCATACTAATATGGTGACTGTGCAGTGGGCAATATATATGACTATACTGGTCATGCTGCGGTCAGCTCCAGCTTCTGCTCCCCTGGTCTAGATATAGGAGAACAATTTTTAAAAAGAGTTGCCAGTCATGGCTTCCTGGGGTTTGATTCACCAACTTAATGCAAGGGTCATCTTACCAAATCCATAGCAATAAGTTGGAATTTACCAAATGTCAAAAAAAATGATGTGCTTCTTGGCGTAACTATAAGTGCATCTGCAATTAATTTTCTTTTTGACCCCTACAAAGTCCCACAAATACCTGCTGATTTTGCCTTGACTGAACCTTGATCAGTTTTTATTTGTAATTAATTTATCTTGGCTATAATTAATGAACCCCATTTTTTAAAGCTCAACTTAACTGTTTGTTTGCCCGGGGGCTAATGAATAATGGTAATTTACACATGTAGGGTGGTGTGTAAATGTATCATTTTCCCTGGAGTGTGGCTTTAGTTCTCTTCCTTACCATCTTGTGTGATTAGACTGCTGCCAGGCTGCAAACAACCACCATTGCTAAAGTGCAATTCCAGCCCTTACACCACGGAGGTGCACATTGGCAATGGTAACTGCATGCAGCAATGCAATGACATCTCTAGGTGACCTGCAATATGAGCGATATCTCCAATCATGTGAGTTTTTTTTGTTTTCAACTATTGGATGAGATAAACACCAGCACTAAAACTTTGGTGCACTTACCCTTCTTTACAAGACACAGTGCCCCAGTGTTAAAGTACCAGGGCGTCCTGGGTTGTGTTGATAAAAACGGCATTGGGTGATTTACACCTACTGTGTACAGGCAAGTATAAAAACGTTATCATTGCTAATAAATCCTAAGTTCGTTTTTGAGGACTAGTTCATTGTTTTATACGATGTGCTGTTCTTCACTGTGACTAGTTTGATCTCACTGTCTGTGCAAAAGCAGAACCCTCTTTCACCAAAACATTGAAGCGCTTACTGTATTGAACTCAGAAAAGCACTTCAATGTTTAAGTGCAAGTCCTTTACAATGGTGATCTATTCCTGCATGGAACCTAATGGGAGAGAGAAGTGGAACATAAATTACATGGCATGTAGTTCACAGAGTATCACAGCGAGCCAATCAGATGTCAGTTAATTGTTAGCTTTGCACATTGTTCTTTGCTTTATAAGATAAGCATAATGGACATGTGTGCCTGCTTTCATTAATGCTAATACACTAGAGTTCAATGAAGCGGATGAATGAGGGTTTATTATAACAACATGCACAGTAGTAACACTGTGATGTTCAGTGTCTGCTGGGACACAAATGAGTGTCCCAGCAGACACGGTCCTGTCCTTTTTTATACCAACCTATTATCACTCGGATTACTAGTCCCACAGAGATAGCAAGTTCTCTTTTGTTATTGTCATGTATATGTTGTATGTTACATTTTTGGGGAGGATCTTGTATCCGTTTGGCCTTTTACCTTGTTTAAGTAGAGGAAATCTTGGCTGTTAACCCCTCAGATAACTGAAGGTGACCCAGTTACTTATTTTCCAGGGCATTTCATATGTTAACTACCTGCTTATGGGATGATTAGGTTTTCCTGTGGCAAATCCATACAGGAGTGATCTGCTCACAGAATTGCAATGCCATTGTGTTGTAATCAGGCTGGGCTGTATACATACACAAGCAGAAATTCCTTAGGATGCGCACAAACTGCACATGGCTTTTGTAAACCCGGAATGCAACTTTATAATTTTATATTTGTTTAGCCCCATTCACACTGCCTGCATTCCATTCTTTTGGCTTCAGCAGCAGAAAATCTGTTTGGGTATATAAAGTCCATCAGATAAGGAAAGTGCGGTACCAATCATTAGTATATCTGTTGATGTTAAGGTGCAGAAGAAACCTACTGTGGTCACCACAACATGATCTAACCAAAGGTAGAAGAGACTCTTTATTCTGCCAGTATATGAAGAACTTATAGAGCAATATGTTTGTGTTTCTAGGGAGATGTTGAAGAAATAGAGATATGAAAGTCAAATGTGGTGTCTGGTAGATATAGTAGCGTTGTCCAGTTATTCCATGATGAAATTGAATAAAACGGCTGCGTCGAGTTTGAAACCAGCACCACAAACTTACCTTAAACTGAATGCGCTAGTTGGTTTGGATCACAACCTGTAATATGGAACAGATATCAGTGTTTGTACTGTATACACAATACTGTAAAGCAATTGGTTTCAAGGAGGTTATGTTATAAATTTATGTAGAGATCAGATTTTGATCATGTTTAACCCCTTCATGAGCGAGGCCTTTTTATTCATTTTTTGTTTACATGTTTAATCCACATTTTGGGCTTGGAAATTACTTAAAACCCCCAAACATTATATATTTTCTGAAAGCCAGGACCCTGTAGAATAAAATGGTGGCAGTTGCAAATTTTTATGTTGCACGATATTAGTGCAACTCCTTATCAAACTCCAACATTTTGGGACAAATGCACTTAAATGCCCCAAAACACAATGAAATACCCTTTTTTAAATTGTTTTAATAAAATATAAAAGATGAGGTTGCAGCGAGTAAATAGATACCCAACATTCCCAGGTTAAAAATTGTGTGCATCTGGGAAACTGCGACAAAATTCAGTACCCCAAAAAGTCAATAGACAACGCTTTAAAAGCCCCCTCAGGTCATCAGTTTAGAGATACGCATAAATATTGGCCCTAGCATTATTGCTCTCACTCCAGCGTGCGCGGCACTACCCAACATGTGTAGCGCAATCGTCGTTTTCATATGGAGGCGTACCCGACGCGTGTTTACATGAAGACGCGGGGGACTTTACATTTTTATTATCTTAAAAGCTTGTTTGGTTTTTTTTTTTAACTTTTAATTGCTGCCACATAGGAGGGCTTACAAGTCACCTATGTGATAGCATAGTGGAAGTGACAGGTACTCTTTAAGGTGAGACTGGGGGTCCAAAAGACCCCCAGCGTCACCTTTACACTTGAAATAAGCTATTGAAGTGCAGATCGCACTTCAATTTCTTATAGCTGGGCTTCAGGAGCCCAACGCTGACCGCTATGGGACCGGAAGTTTACCGGCCCGTAGAAGCGATCTGACGGCATCGATCACGGGGTCATACCGGTAAGGAGTGCAACTAGCCTTTTCTTTTTTCTGACGGCAGCTGAGCCGCCAGAATCACTTCTACTGTAAAGCTGACAGTCGACTTTACAAGTGTAAACAGAGTCCTGTCTGTTTTAAATGGGCCCTTTACGTCACTTGTCATGAAGGGGTTAATAAACCATGTTTTATATAAAGTTTATACAGTTTTTATATTTTTGGATGATAACATCTGTTTGTATTTTCGCTAGGGGATTTAGGCTCTCAGCCAGCAGACCTTTCCATTATTTTTTGCAAATGTACCTACATTTTCAGCCAGCCACCAAAAAGCCTTTACTTGTCAGGTTCTGTTTACTCATTGGAATGCATCAAAAGGTGATTTAAATGACCCTTCTTTTTTTTTTCTTTTTTTTTGTGTGTAAAAAACCTGGAGCTGTGTTATGCACAGAAATAATTGGTGAGCGTTTCATTGTAATATCATTATCAGGAATAGGTTTTATTAATTTACTGTGACAGGAAGTTGTAGGGTCACTGTGGAGGAAGACTGGGATCATTTTGAAATATTTATAGCGTAGGTGTCTAAATTATGAAATTTTGCAGTATTAGGCCCCATTCAGATTTGCAGTATTAGGCCCCATTCACACGTAGCGATATATCACGCGATTTCCGCCGCAATATCGCGCATTTTTGCCGCGCGATATCGCGAGAAGTCACCGGCTAATGATATTCAATGGAGCTGTCTTAGCTCCATGTCGCAAGTCGCTTCTACGGGACCCTTTTTTCGGCGGATTTTGCTTTTTTCTAATGGAGCCCGACGGAGAAGGTCGCGCTACCGTCGCTGGAACGTCGCCCCGACAGTCGCGCTATCCCGGCCGCTGCAAAAGGTATGTCGCTATGTGTGAATGGGGCCTCAGAGCTGATGATGATGAAACCTCCAGGATAACTAAAATACCTGGTAATGGTCCTACTGAAATTGATCTTGGAGATGTGTGCATCGAATGTAGGCATTAGTGAAGCCAGGGGTGGACAAAGTAATATGCAATTAACCACTTGCTGACCGGGGTGTTTATACCCCCTTCCTGGCCAGGCCATTTTTCAGTATTCAGCGCTGCGATACTTTGACATTTATTCCGTCATGCAACGCTGTACTGAAATGAATTAAATACCATTTGTTTAGGGACAGATAGAGCTTTCTTTTGGTGATATTTAATCACCACTGGGGTTTTTATTTTTTACTACATATTTTGAGAAAAAAAAAGTTTTCATTACCTTATGTTCTAAAACATTTTATCACCCAATTTTTTGGTAAAATATAAAAGACGGGGTCATATCGGGTAAATAGACACCAAACATGTCCAAGCTTTAAAATTGCGTGCGCCCACAAAATCGCAAAAAACTACCATGTCTAAAATTGGCCATAGGCGACGCTTTAAAGGCTTTTACTGCTCATCAGTTTAGTGTAATCAGTGATTGATGGGCCTAGAATTATTGCTCTCACTGCGCCGTTCACGGTGATATGTAACATGCACGTAGGCGTGCCCGACGTGTATTTACATATATAAGTGCGTGCGCGTGCCT